TCTGCAAGATGGATATCTCCACCAGAAGCTATGTGGAGGATTTTTTCCTTCAATTTATCAGAAATGTTTCCTACTATTTATTCTTTACAACTTCATATTGAAGATCATCAATGTATAACATACGATGATGAAGATGATTTAATTACTGTTATTAACAACGAAAATATGAGAAAAACCATGTTGACTGAATTTTTCCGACTGAATGAAACAAATGAGTTTGCTAGAACACTTTTGTATCGAGATTTCCCAACACATTTTGTTTGGAATGCAAATCGAAAGATATGGACTCCTAGAAAGAGACAAATTGTCATAGGACGGATTGTCTCAGCGAATCCATCTGAAGGAGAACGTTATTTCCTTCGTGTACTTCTTAATCATATTAGAGGACCAACATCGTTTCATGATTTACGAAATTTCAATGGAGTTATTGTAGCTACATATCGAGAAGCAGCACTTTTACATGGTTTGTTAAGTGGAGATAATCATTGCGAAGAATGTCTATCAGAAGCTATCGTTTACAAAATGCCCGTTTCTTTAAGACGTCTCTTTGCTACGCTTTTGACTCTTTGTAACCCTAATCGTCCAAAGTTCCTTTGGGATAAATTCAAAGTTTATATGGTCGAAGATTATATACATCAAAATATATCTGTTCAATCTGCTGAAATACGTGCTTTGGAGGATATCAATTCTACTCTAGAATCGTTAGGTAAAAATATAAATGATTATGAAATTGTATCATTTAATGTAAATATAGATGAAAATGAAAGGTTACAAAGAATGGTTACAGAGGAGACAANTGTAAAACCTTTTTATAGAAAGCATTGCTAACTACTGTAAGGTCTTAAAATTCTATTATTTTGGCAACTGCATCTTCTGGAGTAGCTGCATCTTTATTACCTGGAGGTCGGACAGCACATTCAAGGTCTAAAATTCCTTTAGAAACAATTTCTGAAGTTAGTTGTTCCGTCAGTAAGCAATCAGCTTTGGAAAATTTGTTGAAAATGTCTAGGTTAATAATTTGGGATGAAGCACCTATGATAAATCGTTGTGCTGTCGAAGCTGTAGACAAAATGCTTAGAGATATTACCGATTGTAATATGCCATTTGGTGGGAAAGTAATCGTTTTTGGAGGAGATTTTCGACAAGTTTTACCAGTGGTACCAAGAGGAAAACAAGAAGACATAATGAGAGCTAGCTTAGTATTTTCAGACTTATGGCCTTTGTATTTCCATCTACCATTGTTTCAGAATATGAGAGCAAAATTGGATCCCATCTTTTGTGATTACTTGCTTAGAATTGGAAATGGAATAGAGGAAGAACATACATGTAAAAACATTAAGCTTCCTGACAGTATAATCTTGCCATTTGAGGATGAAATCACATCTTTAAAAAAATTGATATATCATATTTTTCCAGGAATAGAAACGTGTGGTAACAATTTAGCGACTATGGCAAATCGTGTAATTCTTACACCTACAAATGAATGTGTTGATTATATTAACAGAAATTTGCTTGATCAAATTCCTGGTGAAATTTCTACGTACTATAGTTTTGATGAAGCTATGGATAAATCAGAGCAAGGTTTACAAGAAGATTTTTTGAATACGTTGACGTCAAATGGTATTCCACCACATGAATTAAAACTTAAAATAAATTGTCCTGTAATGTTATTACGGAATATCAATCCTTCAGAAGGATTATGCAATGGAACACGTCTTACTTGTCGAAAATTTGAGAAAAATGTAATTGTTGCTGAAATCACAGCTGGCGAATATTTTGGAAAACATGTATTCTTACCAAAAATTCCTTTCATACCCCTTCAAAGTGATCGAAATTCAATTCCATTTAAAAGAACTCAATTTCCAATTAGGCCATGTTTTGCAATGACAATAAATAAAGCACAAGGTCAAACTCTTGATTTTGTTGGTTTGTATCTTCCAGAACCTGTTTTCTGTCATGGTCAACTTTATGTAGCGTTATCAAGAGCAAAAAAAAGCACAAATATAAAAGTTCTGCTTAAACCAACAAATGAAAAGAATTCACACAGCAAGTGTACTAAAAACGTTGTCTATAAAGAAATTCTTTCATTAATACATCAGTAAAATTGCACATTTTGAACAAGTATATTTTTATGTTCATAAATAATTACAAATAGTTATAATTAAAAAATCTCCTACCGTTGTGGCAGCAAAAAATAAAAGTAATAAAAGAGAGAGTGATAAGTGCATTTTTGTGCACTTATTCGAGCCCATTTTACTAGGTTTTTGTGTCATTTTAGTATTGTATTTTACTTAACTTATGTTACTTTTATCATATTTCAGTTTTGGACATGTTTTGAAGCAATTGGAAAAGAAAGAAGGATAAATGGGTTAATTGATGAAGCTTTGAGGACCAACATGCATATGGGGGGAAGTTGAAATACTACAATTGAAGTAAATTAATGAGGAGGACCAAGATGGAAGAAAGAATGAAGAAAAGGGCGGAAAAGAAAAATGGAGAAAATTTGGCCTGGGCAAGCTTCCATCCATTTTGCCTGGGCGGCCGCCCGAAATAAAATTTATCAACAGAAGCTAAAACATTAGCCTGGGCGAGCGCCCCATTTTGTACTGGGCGCTAGCCCAGGCCATTTCGGGAAAAAAATTCTGGTTTCCTAATTCGACTACAACTCTTATGGAAACGAATCTTGAGGGGTATTTTAAAACCCTAGGGCCGTCCAAAAGTGGGGAAGGAGATTGGAGAAGACTTTTGAGAGCAGAAAAGAGGCAAGAACGCGAAGATCAACTCCAAGAACACGAAGATCCAATTCAAGAATCGAATTGGTGATGTCGTTCTTTATTTATTTTTCTGATTTTCTTCTTCCCACCATGCTAGGCTAGATTAATTTTGTGCTAGGACTAGATGAACTATGTAATATGATTTTTATTTCTTAGTTTTATATTCGTGACAATAAAAACACGTTTTGGGATATTTGAATGATTTATATGAATTTATTTTTCTCCACAATTATATGCGCAATGATTGTGTGAGTTTGGTGGCTTATTTCATGCATTCGAAAGAAGGGGAATAGGTTCGACATATATAAATTATCATAGGGTCCGATAGGGGATAGAAATATACCGCTATGCCTTATGTGAATCTTTAAGTGTTCATAAAAACTCATGCATTCTTGTATGTTTGCATCCGTCATAGAAATATAGTCGGGTCGCATATTTGAATAGGTTTAACTCTACTCGAGAGAGATTGTTAGATAATTTAGGAGCATTGATTCTTCTTTATTCCAACCGTGTGTCAAGGTGTGAAACTAAGTTTAAAAAGATTATTGCATAGGGATTCGTGATCCTAGTACATTCATCACATATTAGAAAAACTCAAATTTACATCCATTGCCAAATTGCATTTAGTTAATTCATTCATTCATATTTGCATGTTTAGTATTAGATTAGTTATAAATTTATCAAAACAAACATTCTCATCTTTTTATAGTTTCGGTTAAGGTTTCGGTAATTAGAATCAAATTAATTCAATCTCTGTGGGTACGATATCCGGAATTTTCAATTCCACTTTATTACTTGTTACGAACCGTACACTTGCGGTGATTTAAAACGAACAATTATTTTCGTGAACAGAGAGCAACCATATCTTTGTTGCTAATGAAATAATTGAGCAGAGCTTCTTCAAGAGGTATTTCTCTTGTCCTAACATCTTCACCACTACTTTATTAGAGGTTGGAAGTATTTAGAATTTTATGTTCAAAGGATATAGATTCTAACAAAACAAATATAGAAGATGGAGAATCTCAGGACTCAAGCGCAATTGTGACTGATCAACCTGATTTACCAGGTAACAGCTCTGAAGATAATATTTCTGTCAGTTCGAGATGCGTCTCTTCCCAATTGAATTAAAACCTCCAAATCCCTTGAAATCCAGAAATTCCTCATATCAATTTCTCTCAAAGCTCCACTCCAAAACCCCAAAATCCTTGAGATCCACTAGACATTTGAAACCTTGACTCTAGAAATAGGTACGAAATTGAATTCCCCGTGCAAGCTACCTTCATCCGTCAATTTCGTAAGTTATGCTGCGGTATTTTATTCATTTATGTAATTTTCTGATTCTTTGACGTATTTTTGTTGTTAATGGGTTTTTTTAATTCAATGGCGAAGCTTACAACTTCATAAAAAAAAAAATCTACTTGTTATATTTTACGTTTGGAATTGTTAGTTCGATTACTAAAAAAAAATGATATTCTCTCTTTGTCTTATATAATAATCTTGCAGTATAGGCAACCTTTAATTAATAATTGCACATGATTGAAGAAGTTAGAATACATGTTGGTGGATAGAGATCAATTTTTATTCTCCTATTAATAAGAATATTTGACATTCAAGCAGGATTGAATTTTCTATTTTGTTCTTATTGATAATGTTTTAGATTGAATATTTATTCATAATGTTCTCCTACAATAATTCATATGTTATGGTATTGTGTTAACGATAATTGTTAGTTGATAGCGAGTTCCTTTTCGATGATGTTAATTATGATGGAGGAGCTTTCATACATGAAATCCCAAACCTATTTGAGTACTATCTCCCGTTCGTTTTATTCTCTCACCGTCTTTTAATTTTACCCAGAACTGGAGCTATTGAAGGGTATTGGATAAAGTCACAGTGGAATACCGAACACTCTCCTTGTGTATGTTTGTTCCATTTTTTCTTGCTCTATTTTTAGGTGCTTGATAACATTGATGGTTGTTGTCAAATCTCTATTATTTACTTGGTTTTCTGATCTTGCAATTCACTTTAGGATGAGATAAACTTTTCAAGGCTGAAGTTTGATTAAAATCTTGTCTTATTTGTATATAATTTACCTAATCTTCATGTTAACGGTAGTCATACCTTAATAATTTATCATTTTGCATGATTTTTGATCACTAAATTATTTCTTTAAATCAGAAGTAAACGAATAAGAGAAGCATTTATTAATGCAGGAATTGGACAACCATGGTTGATGAATGGGCGAATGCTACAAAGGTCATTACAGGTTGTTTATCTAGAAGTTCTTTCTATAGAACATGCATCTAAGATTAACTATTTACTTTCATCAGGGAATTAATGTGTAACTTTTGTTTTACTGGTGCAGAAGTTGCAAGAGAATCTGTGAAAACGTCTTCTTTTGAAAAAAATGAAGGGCTTCCACCTCCTCCAATGGACGAAGGAGCCTTTTTTGCTACACCTACTTCAATGGAACTGTCACAAGTGTAATATTTAACTGCCTTTCTTGGCTCAAAACTTGTACAATTTTCATTTGTGTTTATGTGCTGACTTAGATTTGCTTATCTTGCTTTCTTCTATTGCCATTTGGGAGGTTCTTTGACGGCATGGATGATGATGGAAGTGAGCTTTTTTCCTCATCCTTATGATCATGCTCTTTTAGTATAGATTCTACGACTCGGTTCTTTATTTGAATTCCCCACTAATAGAGATGTATGATTTTAGATGGAGACGTCGTTCTGGATCCTCGAAATAGTGGGGAATTCAATCGTGTACATGCACACATATACATGAATTATATTATAATTATCCTGTTTTTGTGTAGGAAATAAGGTGAAGAAGCCCCGGTTCGTTGTGCTATCTATTTTGCATGGTTTGAGAAAGTTGGAGTTTCATTGCAGAGTTAATTTCAGCTGTGGTATTTTACTGATCACAAATCTGTTTAGTTGGCTCTAATTTCACTGGATAGGGTTCTGTGACGGGAGTAATTATGTTTGACTTGTATTCCTTACTACCAATCTAGGGCTGAACTGAGACGAAATTTATTTCAAATTTAATTTGGGATTTTCGTATGAGTTTTTATTGCAATCCCAATATCTCACTAACAAGCATTACTTTAAAAACTTTAGGAAAAGTTTTCATATTATTTTCCAAAGTTAATAGCTGAAACCTTCGGCATTTGAAATTCATGATTGTTTATTTGGATAGTGAAAGTCATGGGACATGCATTTTTGAAAGTAAATAGAACTGAACTTTTTTACCTTTTGTGTTCTTCGAAACGAATGCACAGTAATTCAATATGCTCGAAGATTGAACATTAATATTTAAAGAGTATTTGCAGGTTCCTGACTCTCATTATCATCATATTTTGTGTTGCTGTTCCTTGTGCCAATATATGTATATACTACTACAGAATGCACCGTTTTAATGCATGACGCCATTTTAAATCATTTCAATTTCTAAAAAAAAGGAATGGAAAAATAAAAGCAGACATTCAATCTTTGCAGCTACGCTACTCATTTCTCTCCGCCTTTTAACATTGATTTCAGTCTTCCTCTCTTAATCATTCCAAAAATAACCAACAAGTTTATGCATAACTAAGATGATTACTTGTATGCCCAATCTTTAAACATTTAATTTCTACTTTTGTATATTTTTTACAGTTCCTTCAGCTATACTGTTGATTTTTTGATTTGTTTCTTTTTTTTATACCAAAAAATTTGGATAGAAATTGAGTTTGGTGACCTCAGGTATGTTCCTTTCTAATTTTTTGTATGAATCTTTGTTTTGTTTCTTTCTTTTTTATGCAAGGTTTTAACAAATATTTCCCAAAATACCAGAAAAATTCCACGGAAATTGGAGTTTTGGTGACCTCAAGTATATTCCTTTCTAATTTTTGTTGTGTACTTTCTGTTCAATTCTACTACTTTGAAGTGTTTAATTTTTTTTTCTGTTTTTGTTTGGAGTTTTGCGTTTGCCACCAATATCGTGTATATCCTATATAATGGTGGATTCTTCTTTTATGCATAGGCCCATACTACTGTGGAATTCGAACCAAAGAAGCTTTTGAACGTGATATTGTTGATGGACATTACAAGGCATGCCTTTATACAAGAATCAAAATAAGCGGCATCGATAGAGAAGTGATGCCCAGCCACGTAAGACTTTTTTTTCGCTAGCTACTTATTTTGGTTTTTTCGTGAATTTTAATTTGAAATTTATATTTCCATTCACCTCCTATATAGTGGAAGTTCCAAGTTGGACCTTCTTTTGGGCGGGTGATGAGTTGTGGGTAGTTCGTTACATCCTCAAGGTATTTTGACATACCTTGTTGTAAAAATCACTAATTTTTTTTAATTATTCATGAGCGAGGTTATCTTAATTGTTTATTCGCTGGTTAACAGAGGATCACTGACATTGCTGTGGTGGTAGTATCGTTTGATCCCAAGCCAATTTAGGTAAAAAATTTCAATTCGAATTTTGTTGTTTCTTCTGCCACACTAGCTTAAAGTTTACTTTCAATACGAATAAAGATTAGCCATCATGTTTTATAGAAACTCATTGTTTTGACTTGTTCGTGATATTTTTGCTCAATACTAAGGTGACTGGAATGAAGCCGGTGTCCACAAAAACTACAGGTAAAAACTTCGTTAACTTATGAAGATCAACTTCTGATCTTCTGCATGTTTCACCTAACCATTGTACTTTCGGTGATTATGTGTATAGTGTTTGATTCTAATTAAGGAAATACTTGGTCTTCACAGATTTGTAGCTAAAATGATAATTAAGGTGTAGGAAGATCAAATTTTTCCTCTTGATGAAAAAATTAAGCAAATTATAACCATGCTCCTACTGTCATCAAACTGATATTTTACTTGGTTTTTCTTATTTCTAAACAAAACAATTTAGGGCAGGTTTCAAGTTTTACTTTGCCTATGTACCGTCGTCATCTTGAGTTTATGGCCTCCAGTTGGAATAGCCAGTAGCATTTAAGGGGAGCAACATATGACTTCCTTGCACCAATGTTTGCCACTTTTCAAACGAGTAGTGAGACCTTTTTATTGACTTTAAGCCACTGATTAATTTGATATTGTTTGATCATGTGTGTAAGATGGAACTTGGGATACATTCAAATGGATTTGAACTTCAAATCTGGTATATTTTGAACTTGTTCTTTTTTCTACGTTTCTCTGAACAATTTTATACTTCTTGTTTGTGGATTCAATTGACCATTCCATTACAACTGTTAACTCATCCCAAAATGTATTGCATTTTTTCTTCGTTATGTATTCTATAAGAAATTTCCTCAAAAAAGGGAAAATATGCTCCCACACATAGATGCATTCTATAGACTAAACCATAACCTAACTTTTAACTCAAGAAAATCTAGACATCTATGGTAAACTGACTATAAACAGTACAAAAAAAGTATTCCTAAGTAACAGCTGCTAAAGTTTGAGTACAACTTCTTGCAAATAAGCTATATAAAGGTTCAACTACACAACAAAACCATACAAATTATGAAGCTGTTAAAAATCCATTATAAAAGTGTTTTTAAAAAAGATTTGCAATTCGACTTTTACTGTTTGCTTGATATTAAATATCAAAAGCTCTGAAGCAGGAAAACTATAGACTACTAACAAATATGTTTGAGCCATTACCTGAGCTGTATATGGTAAGCTTTAACCAAGGAAGTGGACACATTTTTATTTCTTTATTTCACAGTTCAACTTTACAGTTCCAACAATGCCTCCTCTCTCTGCATATCTTCCTACATTCTTTCCTTCCTTCATTTTCTCTCCTTCATTTTCTTTTCAGTTTCAAAATAGTTCTCATATAAAGCTTTTTCGGATTTCCACGTCAATAAATCGCTTAAATCATAAATATTGAACGTAAATTTATATTCAACAAAATTACTATTTCTAATTCAACATTGACAATTATTTGTGATATGCACAAGTAAACCTGTAATTACTCATCAGAATGAAATTGAACGACAAAGTTGTCAGTCTATCTCAATAAATAAATTATAACTAAAGATATGTTTTGATTCTATCATGTTTTAGCAAGATATCGACAACCACTGCATTAAAATTAAACTTCTTACCTGTTGTCTCAGGAGAACACCCCAAATCTTCTTACTATCCCATCACGAAGAGATACAGCTCCATTAGTTATTCAAAGAAGGGTTTCACCATGTCTTCTCTTAATTTATATACTTGCGAATTTGAGAAAAGGTTATAGAATATTGTCTCACTTAGGCTATTCCCAAAATTTGAGATGTAATGCAAGTGTACACTATCAATTGAAATCATATTGACTGCAAAACCAAGAAAGCCAAATGGAGTTTCTCCATCGGCTAATCTTGGCTTTAGAAGATTGTACTTCATCTGTGAATTTTTAGCTATAAACTGACCAGCATAAAAATTTCAACCTATTTGCAATGAAGAAACAAAAACGGAAATAATTTCAATTGCTGAATGTCCTATATTTGTTCGGCCTATTAGCAGATCAAGAAACAAAAAAAGAAATAATTTGAACTGATGAACCTATATTTGTTCTTACAGTAAAGAAGAAAACCTAAAAACCATGGACATTATTTCTCGTACTAGCTATACCACCAATGTCCGTCCTATTTGATTCCTAACTTTCTTTATGACCTATAAGTGAAAAAACTGTTGTAGGATCTAAGCCTACTAGCATCCCAGAAGATAAAAAAAAAAGGTAATATTTTTTATTTCTTTCAATTCTTTCATAATGCCATTACCACTTTATTACTTTATCAAAATGTAATTGTATATGCTTTTGCTTATCACTTTGCCATAAGTAAAATACTATAATTGGTAAGAAATATAATTTAGTCACGTGTAATTTCGCTTCCTAGCCTATTTTTTACTCATAATTTAAAACCATTTGACATGCTTTGCTTTCCAGATAGTTCACATTGTGCTATGATTGGGAAAAAACTGCATGGTTTGTAGACAAGCTACAATTGCTATTCGTTGTATGTTACTCATCTATATTTCCCAATTTTTTCATTAAGTTCTGTACATATGTGATTTCCCTTCACATTAAAGTTTTATTATCTAAGGAATTCTTTTTCACTCTACAGGATGCCAAACTATGTCACACAGGAATTGCAATTCAATATCATGTATGCATTACATCAAAGGTATTATACAATTGCACAAAATAAATTTAAATTTAACTACATTTTTAAAGTCATTATCAGCTTATCATAGTAAACAATCCATCTTTTAAAAAATATATATATAAATTATTTGTTTTATTTTCTCTAATTCAACTTCCGATTTTAGTTCAACTATTTAGCGTAATTTAAAATATGTCCAAGTCATTCATTAAAACTTCAAATTCATATTTTGACATTTTCCACTTGTAACAAAATATAAGCAATATTTCCAACTAAATAATTAATAACATAACCTCAAATTTTATTTTTAAAATTTTTCTTACAAAAAACCATTTCTTCAAATCATGTTTTCTTGCTTCCTAATTTAACCTCCTATCTTTCTTCTACTTTCTTTCAACTTCACTACATTTAGAGTTTTTCAACAGGTAACACATTTCACCCCAAATCCAACAAAATGAAGAATCTATGCTTAAATATTTTAACACTATTTATAATTTTCAAAAGAACAACAAATTTAAGATTACCAAAATCTTTTTGTTTCCATCTTTAACTAAAAATTTAAAATTTCTACTATTACACAAATGACTTCACATAAATTTAACATTAAACAATTAAATAAGTCTAATTTTCACGTTTTCAATTCTCATATTGCAACATTGTTACCAACGTCGTTGCTACCATAACTATACCTCACTCAATATTTTCATTCACCATTCAGATAAACACTCCTAAAAGTCAAAATTAGGAAAACACTGGTGTTATATAATTCCTATCTACACTATCATATCCATAGAAAACGCTATACAAATAACCAACATAGTATTCAGTGATTAATTAGTCTTCACACATTTTCTGATAAATACCACCAAATTTTGTAGTTTTGTATACTTTTATAAACTTTTCTATAATAAAGTTAGATTACAATTAATTACATAATAATTTTCCTCATCAAATTAATTCTATTCTTTGAACTAATAAAAAAGAATTATATCGTACTTCCTGATATTTGTTTTACAAAAATATATATTTTATAATAAATATCTTAGAGCAAATGACAAAAATGTACAAATTTTTTTACAGCACATATGTGGACAGCTATTTTTTTACAGCACATACTATAGAATGTAGTATTATCATCATTCAACTCAATCGTTATCTTAAATATAAATTAAAATATTCATCCTATACTCAGAAAATTCTCTATAAATAGCTAAAACTTATTCTTCACTTTTCAAACATCTCAATCTCAACAAAAAACACATCACAATCGTCAAAAACTACATTCCCATCTTATATCTGGTAAGTTCTTATATCTGTTATATGTTAATTCCATCTCCATATTTACTTTAACAACGTTCTTACATTTTTCACAGTAAGAACTCCAACTATTTATACTCCAATTCCTTTTTTATATCAAAAGCCCAACTACTTATGCACAAACTCCTTTTTAATGTGGTTAACAGATGCAAGATGACTACTCCTAAGCTCATCCCAGAAATTTCTATTGGAGAAAATAATTGGTGTGCAAAGGTGATTATTGCTGGAAAACAGTCACCTAAGCATGCTCGTAACAGCTCAAGTCGATACCAAAATCTTCTTCTAATGGATTTAGAGGTTTGTACATATTAATAACTATAATATCTTCCTCATTTCAAATCATATAATATGCTTCTTATTAATATCTTCTAACCTTTCAACAGAAAAACGTGGTTACAGCCATAATGTATGATGCAAATATTGCGGCCCTCGAAGATCAACTACAACTCGGGAAAACATACATCCTATCAAATGCGACTGTGAAACATAATAGAAATACATTTGTAAATTCTATTGATGAAAAACTTTGGATCATTACAGGGAAAACAAGACTTGAAGAAGTAAATGACGAGAATCTGAACTTCCTCTTCTCCACATATGAAGTGACTCCATTCGACAAACTACAAAACTACATGGATAACAACAAAAACATAAGTAAGATAAACTAACCTTATAAACAATATTTTACTACTTCATTTCTTCACATTCAACTAGCATCATGTACAGTATATAATAAGCAAATACTTCAGGTGTTTTAGGTGTTGCTATAGACATTCGCCAAAAAAGAATTATCCAAACCCACTATGGTACACAAGCCTGTCTTCAAGATGTTATATTGATGGACAAAAGTTTCGAAACTGTAATGCTTACATTGTGGGACAGTTTTGTTGAAAGAGAGTGTATTGCTATCATTGAGAACCTTGCAAAAAAACCTGTCATATGGGCTACTAATCTCAAGGTTTCTTCCTTCAACGGTAAATTCAATATACC